CCATCAATATCATCAGGAGTAACATCTTGGTAGTACGGGGTAGCATAACTATATTTTTTTTAGCATCTGGGATGGTTGGGAGTAGCATAATGATAGTATCGTGTAACATCATCTTTTTAACATCAAAATCTGACTATCCATTTCTCTCAGTGTAATACAATTAAAGAATTTTTAAAAGCTTTTGTGTTTTTAAAGTGCAGTACTTCTTCACATAATTCCTCTGATGTCCCTGTGACTTTTTTTAAAAACAGAAAGAATTACTAATTTTACAATAACAAATTAGCCATTTTTTTATATTTTACAGCTTCTAAGTGCTTTGAAAAATAAGAAAAAATAAAAATCCTCCCAGGATTCCATATTTTTCTAAAAAGAATAAAAATATAATATATTTAACCGAATTTAAGAAATCACTGTAAAATATCGAATCGCCCAAATATACAAAATAATCTAAAATCATATTTGTCAAGTCATAGTTCAAAATTTGTAGCAAGATCCGAGCGTTACTAAAAATGCAAGGGCCTAACCAAATTTCTGTATTTTTCCTGATCAGAAACAACACACAATCCAATTCGGGATCGTTCTATAGAACACCCTTATCTCTCTACATTACTCCAGAATTGTATTACTTTATTTATTTTTTCTATGATCGCTACATTTTTGTTAGTTATTACATTTTTAATTTTTTTATTAAAAATATGCTTATAAGTAAACTTTATTATTAAATTAAAAACTTTTATATTAAATTATTTTACCCAAAATACATCAAATTTTTTTGTATTTTACATAGTTTCGAAAAAATATAATTTTAAAAACTAAAAGATGATAAGTCAAACTAAGATTTTAGAAACAATGGTACGAATTACTTTATAGTAATATATAAAAATAGCACATTAACAATTAAAATTAACAATATAATTAAGGGGCCGTACACATAATACGTCACGCGATTTTTGACCATTTTTAACCACTCCCTCCCTCTATGTCACACTTCGTCACAAATCTTGAACCCCCCCCCCTTCCCCTACGTCACGTCACACACGTAAATTTCACTGTAAATTTTATACATTGGACATTATATATTATATCCTATACACTCTAAATTATTGAATCAGTTAAAAATAACTGATTTAGAAGCAAAAAATCAGACACTAATTCAAATAGTAATATTTTTTTTCGACAATTAGTTAAAAATAACTGATGTTTTAATACAATTTTTTTTATTAATTCAAATTAGTCACGTTTAACTACCTACATAGCACCGAAACTGTTCTAACAATTTATTAAAGATTTACCCGCAAGCTTCGAAATATTTAAATGCAAAGTTTAGTGAAAATTGTGTAAAGATTTAAATATCCCATTTCAATAAGTGTTTAGTGCGAAACTTTCCTGAAAATTTAACCTAAATTTTCAGGAAAATTTTCGTATAATAGTCGAAAATGTAATTTAAATGTTCAGTAAACTTTCAAGCTATATTATTAAGAAAATTTGACGATAAACATTTATTGGGGTGAGAAATTTAAATCTTTACAAAATTTTAAAATAAACTTTGCAAGTAAATTTTTCGATGTATGCAAGCAAATCTTTAATATACATGTTTAGAAAAGTTTCAGTGTTTTGTGGATAATTTTTCAGTTATTTTCAACTGATTTAGAAGCAAAAAGTCAGTTACTGCTGATTGTCAGTTAAAACCATGATTTTTAACTGATTCAAATTAAGAGAATATATTATTTATCATATTATAAATAATATACCAATAGATGTTAAACAGGTACATTTTAGATATTAAATAGTTTAAAGCATTTTTAACTTGTTTTATTTAGAAAAAGTGACATTGTCACATATAATTTCTTATAATCTTTGAATATAAAAGATTGTGACGTAACACATGAGTTCACCCCCCCCCCTCCCCCATGTCACACTTAGTCACAATTCTCAGACCCCCTCCCTCCCCCTAGCCGCGTGACGTATTATGTGTACAGCCCCTAATATAATTATCATAATTCATAAAAGTATAAGTTAATAGATATAAAAAATTGAATAATTTCTAATAACTAAAATCCATGACAGGGTTACCACGCTTTGCTCTTTTCAAATTCCCTGACATTTTCAAGTTTTCCAAGTAAAAAAACGGAATTTTTCTAGGATTTTAAAAAGAAAATTTTTCAAAAACATCAATAACTTCATTTTTAAATAAACATTTAATCATTATTTTTTTATAAAAATTAAAATACTTAAAAATTTTAAATTCAAGAACATATAAGAATATTATTATAAATTATAAAGATATCGATCACTCCGAGTCTTCGAATCGAAGTGATCACTTTCTTCATGTTTTATAATAATAAAAACTTGCTACTAAAATTCTTCTTTAAGTCAATTTTTTAAAAATGATTTTTGAAAAAGTTCTTTATGAATTTTCGAATTCTTTTGTTTACAATTTAATTTTACGAAATTTCGATTATTCTGACATTCTTCAATTAAATATATTGGAAATTAAAACTTTCAAATAATTAAAAAGAATTCCATTAAACTTATTGTGAAAAATTAATTCTATAGAATTCTTAATTAAAAATATGAAAAGTTAAAATTTTCAAAGATTTTAATTTGAAATTCATTTTTAAATCAATATATATTAGAAAATTCTACGAGGAAAAATAATTGAATTTCGGAAAAAAATTTTATTATTTATAAAGATAATTGAAATTTTGACAAGAATTTTTGTAAATTTTTGAACATAATTGGATTTCTGCGAAGAATTTTATAAAATTTTTTTTTTAAATTGAATTGTTATTACGCAAAGAATTTTGATAAAGATTTTGAAAATAATTTTATTCTTTAAAGAAATTAAATTAAAAATGTATTGAAAATAATACTTAAATTACTAATAAATAAATTGTAGCAAAGGTTATTAAAATAATTAAACTTCTATGGTAAATTTTATAAAATTTTTAAAAATTATAACTTTTTTCGAGGAATTTCATTAAAATTGCATTAAAAATAATTAAAATTCAGGCATTGAGTTTTATTATTTATGAAAATAATTGAATAATATATGAAAATTCTTTGTTAATAATTTAATTCCTGTGAAATTTTCATTATTTATGAAAATAATTAAATGTTTGCGTAGAATTTAATTAAAATTTTTTTTTAACTATAATTGAATTCTTTTAGAAATTTTTATTAAAGTTGTAGATATTAAAAATCATTGAATTGAGGATAGTAATTAAAAATAATAAACATTTTGACAAGAACTTTATGAAAATTTTTGAAAATAATTTAATTTCTGAGAAGGATTTGACTACTTTTGAAAATAATTGAATTTCTGAGAAGAATTTAACAACTTTTGAAAATAATTGAATTTCTGAAAAAAATTTTATTACTCTTGAAAATAATTGATTGAATGGAGGAAAGTTTTTAAAAATAATGAAAATTTTGACAAGAATTTTGTGAGAATTTTTGAAAATAATTGAATTTCTGAGAAGAATTTTACTACTTTTGAAAATAATTGAATTTCTGCAATTATTTGTAATTGCTTCAAAATTCAATTTGTTTTAGTGTTTATAACTAAAATTTTTCTATAAATCTATTATTTTTAATAATCAATTAAATACATATTAAAAAATTTGACTAACTTCAGCCCGTGTAGAAATTGCAATGTGGCACTGTTAGGGACCGTAGAAGTTTACCCTTTTAATATTATAGGGGCCAAATAGGGCAAATTGCTAATATCTGCAAATTTTTACTAGCAGATGTTTTTTTAATGTTTTAATTAATAAATTAATAATAATAAAAAAAATTAATTAATTAATTAATAATTATATATTAATATAAGGGGTCATATTCACATATTACGTGATAAATATTTTAGGTATTTTAGACCCCCTCCCCCCCTGCGTGATACTTTTTCTATAGTTTAGTATAGAAAATTTGTTAAAGCGTGATACTTAGCTGACCCCCCTCCCACCCCTAAATGTATCAAGTAGTAATATGTGAATGACCCCTAATGTAATAATAATATAATAGTCTAATAAAATAATAATAATAAAATGAAACTAATAAATTAACTGTATAATAATAGAAACAATAATAATAAATTAATTAAACATTTAATATTAGGGGCCATATTTGCTCCGTCTGGGACCCTTGTAAGGGATTTACTTCGCGTGCCACATTATATACGAAAATCTGTAATTCGGTCTCATTAATCGGGCCGTATAAGGGCCTGATAAGGAACACGATATAATTTTTTGTTGAGGAAAACTGTTACGGGCCACATAAGCGCCCTATTATTGTCAGGGACTATAATGGCAATTTCTACACGGGAGAAGATTTTTAGTTTTATTTTTTTTTTAAATCTAAGTTTTTTTATATTTCTAATTAAATTCATTTAAAATCGAAATTTTACAAAATTTTAAATCAAAATATTTTGAAGTTCATCTACTTATGAAAATTGTAAAAGCAATTCTATTAAAATTGAATTAATTTTGAAATTAGACTTCAAGAATAAACACAATAACTTTAGAAAACAACAATTTTCCAGGATTTCGATCAAAATTCCCTGACTTTTCCAGGATTTCGATCAAAATTCCCTGACATTTCCAGGTTTTCCAGGTTGCGTAGCAACCCTGCATGAGAAAACATTGAGGCAAATTGAAACAATTAAAAAAATAACAATAAATGTTTAGTATTTTTTAAAATTAGCATCGGCATAATTTAACTAAGAGAGAAATTAATGAAACACATAGAAGAGATATTTTTATCTCGAGGAACAGAATATATAGCAAAATAGGTCTGTTGGATAATAAAAAAAAGAGTATAGACGGCCCTGGATTCTCTATGCTTATTAGCATAATACGTTGGTTGTAGACAAGTTTGGCGCGCGTTTAACAGCGCATATTTCCAGCGCACCAATAGAATTTAAACTCGAAATCTATGGGAAGGGACGACCTCGTGGTTTCGACCGACTCTTGAGCGTTATGATCAAAGCAGAACTCTCCCGTCTTTCTTCTGATGAGGTTGTTCGGAAAGTGCTTTTTGACAAATATCTATTTTGAAATAGTCAACATCAGTTAAAACAAATAACAGAAAATACAAGTATACGTGTCAAAATTTCTTTTATTTTCCATTCAGTTTTCAATCATATGTTGAACGTGGTCGCCTTTTAATTAAAATCTTTTCGGAGTAAAATTTGGAAGGAAAGGAAAAACCACATTTCGAAAAGTTTGTTCGGAAAATAAATTCCCGAGTCAGCGGGACTCGGTCGATGTTTGTTTTGTTCTTTTTTTTAAATAAAAGACGGATTTTTAAAAAGTTTTAAAAATTCAGGAAGAGAAGAAAATGTTGGCGGCATCATTTTGCCGGGAGTTGCATTTTACTGTGTTGCCCTCAACAATAAATTCGAGGGTACCACGCTGTTTGTTTGGCAGTCCAAGCGCCAAGGAAACGATGGATCTTCTCCAGGACGCTTTGGATGTGGAGAGAACGAGATTTACCAGTAAATGGGGAGTCGATCCTAGATCTGAAAATGATAAGGAGAATATTCTTCCAAGGTTCGAAAAGGTCGAGAGATCGCCTAGGAAAAGGTGCAGTCCATACTCGAGGCAAACTAATATTCACGGTAAGAATTATTTATTTTAAAATTATTAGAAAATTCTCAGTTGCAATTTTACGATTGAAATCATTTTAAAAATTCAATCAGAGGAGATGCTCAATGCTCCTCGTGAAACCCACGTGGCTGAATTGCCGCTCCCGCCTACGAATTTTGTCGGCGTGGCATTTTTTCAAGCCTTATGTGAAAACATTATTTTCTCTCTTCGTACTCGTTTAACTAAATAATTTTCCACCATAAAACATTTTCTCTAATAATTTTTAATTAAAAATTGTTAATTTTTCCCTTAAATGTGAAATTTTATGTGATGAAATAATTTCTAAACGTGTATAATAAACTGCATGGCGTGTCTTAATGGTGGGGGTTATGAAATATAAGTATATAATTTTTTTTAACTTTATCAATTTTCGAAAATTTCAAATAAATTTTTAAAAAATATTCTAATATTACTCTTAAATTGATATTCATAAGAAGTGATTGTATTTATTTTGCTATTTTTATGTCTCTAGTACAAGTTCGATAAAATGCGTCACGATAACCACGAAAATAGATTAGAGTATTTTAGATATTGCTGCTTGGGTCAGAAGCGTTGCAATTTGAAATATATGTGGCATCTTGGTTCTTTCGAAAGTTGAATGTAGACGCAAAAAGCCAAGCTGCTATGTGGAAATTTCCTTTTTGCATGGTACCTTTATATAAGAAGCTTTATTTTCTCACTATTGTGAAAAAAGTCTTCAAATATCAAAAATCCTAAAAATCATGCACCAACGTTATAGAAAAATTAAAATTGTTTTCTTTGTTCATGTTAAGTAATTAATTCGAAAATGGATAAAGGCTAAAAATTAACAGTCGTCAATTATTAAACTCTAATTAAAACATTCTGAAAATTTCATTCTGTGTATTAATGAAAAGTTAAATGATCAAAACTAATAATTACGTGACGAAAAAGATTCCAATGAAAAAAAATGCCAATAAATATTAAAAGTGCTAAAAAATTAATTTTAACAAAGATAAAGAGTAAAATTATTTTCATATTTAAATTCACTTGACTTTTTATTGTTTCCAAACTATTTCCACCCACACAATTCTGCTGTCAAAACCTAAACAGTTTGACATTTTAAATGGTCAAAAACGTTCTTTTGAAAACATTCGGATTTCCGTGGGCGACACCCAATTATTGAAGCCAATGGTGGTCACGTTGGAAGTTTTTATGTTGTAGCGTACGCCCGCCAACCAAGCACGTTTTGGCGGGAAATAATCGTCAGTGTTCCTAGGTTCGACGGGAAAGCAGTTACACAGGCGCAGAGGCGTAAAGCGGGTCGCGTGGCTCGAACCTGTTTTTCTTTGCGTACCCAGTCGTCTTTCTCTCTCCTCTTGTCCTTCCTTTATCATTCACTCTTTATCTCTCTTTCTCTTTCAATATCCCCTTTTTCTGTCTCTTTTGACAACGTTCTTTGCCCCTCCCATGATTTCTCTTTTCTCTCTTTCACTTTTACTCCTCGTCTTACGCATCATTCCAAATCCAGTCAGGTAGCTACCGTTTCTTTTAAAAACTCTATACTTCTCGCTCAAAAGTCACGAGACCATTTTTTTAACCTATTTCACATTTTTATATTGAATCTCACTTCGGGAATACTTATCATAAAAAATGTGAAAAACTTGAGTATATAGGTACAAAACGGATTGTGAAAATGCATAACATAGAATTCCTTTTCTTTATCTTTTTGAGATTATTCTGCATATTTCATAGGTTATTCATCGGTTTCAACTATTTTCAAACCTTTTAATAAAATTCTTGTCAAAATTTCAATTATTTTCAAAAAATTTTCCTCACTTGAATAATTTATAATTTTTAATATCTTTACTATTTTAATAAATCTACCCAAAATAAATCAAATTATTTTAAAAAAAAATTAATAAGATTATACGCAAACATTTAATTATTTTCATAAATAATAAAAATTTTACAGGAATTCAATTATTATGAAAAATGGAATTTGCATAAATTTTTTCGAAATAAAAATCAATTGTTTTGAAACTTTATATAAAATTCTTGGCAATAATTCAATTATTTTGTTAAATAATAAAACTCATTGCAGATTTTCAATTATTTTTAATACAATTTTAATCGAATTCCTCAAAAAAATGTCATTATTCTTAAAAATTGTATTAAAATTCGTCGAAAGAATTCAATTATTTGCAAATTTGTTAAGAAAATTATGTATAAGAAATTAAAAATTCAATTTTGAAAAATAATTCAATTCTTGCAACTAACTTTATTACTTTTTTTTTAATAATTGAATTTTTTGAGAAATTTTATAAAAATAGTAGATTTTGAAAATATTTGAATTTCAGCAAAGAATTTTATTATTTGTGAAATGTAATTGAATTCGTGCAAAATTTTTTTGAAAATAATTGCATTTTCTGAGGAATTAAATTTGTATTAAAAATAATATTGAAATCCTATGAAAAATTTTATTATTTATGAAAATAATTTAATTCTTACAACGAATTTTAATAAAAAATTTAAAAAAAATTTTTAAAAATATAACTACATTTTTCAAGGAATTCATTTAAAATTGTATTAAAAATAATTGAAATTTTACAACGCTCTAATACTTTTAATATTCAATTATGATTTAAAATTTTAAATAAAAATTTATTTTAAAATAAAGTTTTACTAGAAAATTCTACAAGAATTCAATTATTTAAATACAAAAATAAATAATTTATTGAACAATTGAATGTTTCTTAAAATTAAGAATTTTATTATTTATAAAAATAATGGAATTTCAGTAAAATTTTTATTATTTATGAAAAAAATTTAATGTTTGCGTACAATTTTATTAAAATTGTTTTTAAATAATCTAATTCTTTCGGGTATTTTTATTAAAATAATAGATATTGAAAATCATTGAAATGATGGAAATTTTTGAAAATCATTGAAATTTTGACACGAATTTTATAAAAATTTTTGAAAATAATTGAATTTTGAAGAAGAATTTTTTAATTTATAAAGATAATAATGGGTATTTTGTCGAGATATTTTTGTAAATTTTGAACATAAAATTGAATGTTGTGATAAGAATTTTATTACTTTTGAAAATAATTGAATTTCTCCAATCATTTGTAACTTCTTTAAAATTCAAATTTTGTAGTGTTTTTAACTAAAATTCTTCTATAAATTAATTAACTTTAATAATTAATCAAATATGTATGTATTGAAAAATCTAACTAATTTTAGAAGATTTTGAATATTATTAAATTTTATAAAATTTCAAATTGAAACCGCATAAAGTTCATTTATTTATGAAAATTGTAAAGGCAACTCTTTTAAAATTGGATTAATTTTAAAATATTTATGAAAAATTATTCATTAAATAATTTTTGTCAGAAATTGAAAAAATTGCAGGTTTTGTATTAGAATTCCTGGTAACTTTATAGTTTATAAATCAAAGAAAAAAGACACAATAATTCAGAATTTTCTTATGAATTCTAAAAATTTAATTTTTTTCAGTACTTTTAATAAAAATTCTTGACTTTTCCCCGAATTCTATTATTTTTAAAATTGCTAATTTTATTTTTAAAAAATTGAGTGAGAAATAAGTGTTGCTAGTACACCTAATAATTATCTTAAATAGTGAACTTCACCTCTCCGTGTGATAAGACAATTGTCATGAAGTACCCGTGAGATTTAAAATAAATGAATTTATAAAAAATTTTACGTTACTCTTGATATAGTAAACATCACTTATTTGGTAATGTTGCATGCACCAGTCATATTGCATTTGAATGCGAAATTTTAATGTTGACTTTCATCGCAGAAATGACTCACACACCATGAATCATGCATAGATGTACTGAAGAAGGCATTCCGATATTTCTTGTTTGAAAGGATCTGATTCACCGACGGAGCGTTATTTTCTTTTGTATATAAAGAGAGTAAAACTCGCATACCTCGCATGTTTTACAGTATAACTTTGCAAATCTAAAACTGATTATTTCTTGCGAAATTCCTGCATTTTCATTCGTTTCACTACCCAATTGCTTTCTCGCCTTTAGATCCCGGTGTATGATAGAACAACTGATAAAAGTCCAAGGGTGAGACTGACGTTGCTTTTAAATTAGAGTTACCTTGTATTTCATTGGTAACACAGTTCCAGATTTATGAACTGCCATGAAAATTTCTTGCCAAGTCAGATTTAAAAACAGACTTCATTATAGTTTACACAGAAAGTGTATTGCAGTAAAATTGAATAAAAATTATTTTTTATTTAATTTTCAATATAAACATACATGAACGGGGTGAATCGAATTTAATTGCGACTTTACGGTTATGAACTGGGGGAAAAAAGCAAGTGAACTGGTTTCCCTCTTTCCGGATAGTTTACTCCCACGAGTAGGAGAGCAAGTTTCTGACCAAGTGCAAAGGGAAATATTCCCAGCTAGAGTCGGTTGTGTGGGACCCTTGAAAAATCAACCGACCGAAACAATGCACGAGCACTTTCGCGACACCTGTTTTGCCCTTTACTTAGACTCGCTCGAACGTCTTTTCCCACGATTAAATCAGGCATTCTGAACATGAACACGCGATATGAATCCAGGACCTTTAGAAGGACGTTTAGCACCTGTCAAGACCTTGAGACTATTAATTCTCGAAATATTGTCAACCCATTTTGCACCTTTCAATGACAATATACTCCTTCACTATTTATGCGGAAAGTCCAATAGGATTTATGATTTTATTCATTCAAACTGATGTCTGCTTTTCATTTCAAAGTTGCTTATTGATGATGTTCAATTTTTTCTTATTAAATGCAATTATTTTAATACATTTCAACAGTAACGTTACATTTCTTAATTGACATTAAAAGTAATTATTTCTATAGGTATTTAATTGTTTGAAGGGAAATATTTTAAAACTCTACATTTTTAAATAATAAAATAAATATATAGAAAATAATTAAAAATCGGTCTGGCTTAAAAAAGCAAATACAAAATATTCAAAT